AAAAATTCTCATTACTTTTTAACCAGAGATTCTTCCATCAATCACTATTTCAGAATTTATTTTTTCTCCAAAATGGGTGTCAAATAGGGGCATTAATTTGTCGTAGGGCACACAATGCCCTGTTTGGTAACAATAATTTCAAAACTCTTTATACTATATATTCATTTCACACATAAATGTAAAATTTTTCAATACTTTTTAATCACATATTTTTCAAAAATTCATTATTCAAAACATTGTTTTTCTCAAATAACTTCCATCAAAAAATGGCAAAATCTATTTAAAATTTAAAATTTTCAAATTAATTTGAATTTGAATATTCTTTCTCCTATTTTATATACATTGTTATTAATATTTGGGAAAATGTTGACACTTCACGAATTTTATTTAATTATTATGTTGGTGTCATTATCATAGCTATATGATATAGGATCGTAAAATTAGGAGGTAGAATCATTTCAAACTAATCATTTCGTCCAAATTAAATTATAAACTAAATTTTCAGAATTCTTTTCACTTTTTTTACCCAAAATTTCAGATCTGATCCATAATGTGGGGAGAATATTTCTTTCGGTGCCCACATCAAATAGACACTTTGGCCATTTTACCGCTTTAAATCGTCAAGGTGAAAAAGGGGGTAAAAAATACATACTTATGTTAAATAACTATTAAAGCCATATTTAACTGAGTTAATTTCAAGAGCAATGCTATGGGTACTGGAAAATTAAAGTACCCACAGAAGTCGGACAAAATACATACAGACAGGTGGTCCCCGATTTTTTGGCAATATTTAATTTACATGGGGCCCGCCTCCTATGTGAATGAAATTCAAATTCCTTTTTTTCCTGTACCTGCAGCTTTTTTCTAATTTTAACTATTTATAAATAAAATAATTTGTTTTCTACTTAGCATGCACGACACGTAATGATTGATGTAGATGCGAGATTTAATAAATTGAAAATAATTTATAATTTAATATTGTATTACAATACCACCTTTTTTAGGTTAGAAACAAAAATGTATTCAATGCCACGTGTAAAAAAATATATCCCAGATGGAATTACAAAGTGCCGACAACATTTCATTAAAGTTTGGACAGAAATCAAATTTAAAACGGTTAATAAGGTAATGTCATCTCAGCAATTGTAGTACAATTCATCTGTAAAAACAATTTTATTCTTATTTTATATCCCTCAACTAATTATAAGGAAAATTTATTTGATATGGTCCTTGTTCTAGATTTAAATGAACAATTCAACTTTCTATTTATTTTGGTATCGACCTTCAATATTTGGACGGGAAATGTGACCATTTTTGTATATATTTTTATTATTAAACAAATTACTTCAGTAGTTAAGGAATAAAAAATTTATGGTGTAGTGTAGGGTTTGCAATAATCAATAATTGTACCACGTTTGACTCTCATTTTTTAATAAACTAATTTTTTTCAAATTTATTTTTTGACATGCACAGTTAGGAGGGCACCAGATTAATAAATAAATAATAGCTCAATTTTTGCAAACACCCTCATTTTATTATTTTAACTTGAACACGGAAGAAATAGCACCTCACGTCTTCAAATGTTTTTAATTTTTAATTCACTATTTTTTTTCTTTTTTGTATTTACGTTTTTTAGCCTTTTATTTCATAAAATTTGAAAATTTTTAATATAAAAAATAAAGGAAAATAATATATTAAAAAGTATTCGACAACAATAAATTAAGTTTATTTTAAATAAACTTAAGTCGACGGTGTGATACTTTTTATGACCAAATCAATTCAAATTCTCAGTTATATCATTAAGCCTTAAAAGGGATCATAATTTTTTAAAAATTATCCCTCTTCAAAAAAAATATTCCGTAAGGAAAAAAAAAA